CTTTCTAAAATGTCATATTTGGATCACTTTACCAACACATACATGAAGTTCTGTTAGACAGTCAAGACATCTGTTTCCTTGGCCAGACAGTGTAGGCGTTTATGGAGATTTAAGCTGGCGATAGTAAGTGTAAAACAACATCCTCCAGAACCTACATGACGGCCCACACTGGAGCCTCGTGACTTGTGTGTTTCTTGGTCAGAGAGACTTCCAAGGGGAAAAAAAGAAAAGGCTGACTCATTCTCACCTCTCGCATATATACTTTAGATCACAAGGTATCTAACTTCTGCTACCTCTGATTTAATACTTCCCAATTCAATGTGTTCAGCAGCATTTTAATGGACTCCACTAGTCCTTGGCTAAGTCACAATTTTTCTCTAAGATGTTACTTTAATTAAAGATGTTATCTTTAATTCCTTGAGGGAAACAAACTGGAAGTTTTAAGACTTCAGAAAGGGGAAGATCTTGCTTACAAATTTAGGAAGGAAGAGGGTCAAGCTGAGTCTTTATGAGCGACATCACTCTTGTTGGCTGTGATAAACTTTGGAAGATAGGGTAGACTGAGAGGCGAATAGGAGGTTACCGATGCAAACCTTGGAAGTGCAAAGGTCCTGAGGTGGAGTAGAGTGTGTTTGGAGAACAGCGTTGCCTCCATATTGAATGGACAGAGTGAAGAACAAAGGTGTGGTGAAATGATGATGAGATGGCACATGGGCAGTGAGGAACCTGAGCAGGGAGTGGCAGTTGAGCATATGGTCATGCGGGATGCTTTGAAAAGGAACAGCTGGAGGAGGAGAAAAGTTCAATAACTACTGGAATGTTCTAAGCAAGAGGAAAGAGGATTTCAAATTCAAAAAACGAAAAAAATAGAAAAGGATGAAACCAAAAGTTATTCTGACCTACCAAAAGGTGAGTGAACTTGTAAGCAGCTGAGCCTGAAGAGGAACTGACCGTTCTTCCCACCAGCCCCCAGCAGAACACAGCCAAGCATTATAAGTTAGTCCAAGGACTGAAACAGCTAGCATTCATTGAAAGTCTGCCATGCGTCAGATACCTTGCTTAGTGCTTTATTCGCCTTATCTCATTTAAATCTCTACAACCACCTATCCTGAGAGCTATGCTTGATGATCATCAGTTTACAGGTGAGAAAATATAGGTGTAGAGAAGAAGTAAGATGACTTGCATATATTCACAGCATAGATGGTGAAGAGCATAAACAAGTCAGCAACCATTAATTAAAGTAGAATCTACTATTTGCTGAGCACTGTGGGAATCAATGGTGAACAGAAAGATATATACCTTTGCAGGACTGAAATGCAGCCCTGCCTGACGGGGCAGCTGGTCCATTTCTCTTTGTACCACTGCTTTACACTCTTATGAAAGATACCTGACTCTGCTGCTCTGACTCTGTTACAGAATTTGACTAGTGCTGTGCTGTGTCCACACCACTGAAATTATGCCTAAATTTTTAATTTTTTTTTAAAGTCATTATTTCTTGACTCAGTAATGTGTTTCTATACTTTTAAAATGTTGATGATCACAGAAAGTCACAGCACTTTGTGCTCAACAGCTCATTCATTATTCATATTTTATTCAAGAAAAGCTGATGTTAACTCTTAGACCAATATAAAAGAACAGTTTACATCAAAGGTTGAGCCCTCACCCTTGCAATCCCACTTTTTCTGAAGCAGAACAAGAAGTATTTTAACTTCAAAATAATTTGCCAGAAATCAGAGTATAGGGTATAAAAAAATCTAGTTTATATCAAAGTAATTACTTGAAAGGACCATACTAGAAAGAAAAATACATGAAGAATTTGCGTATTTTTAGTATTCAGGATTTTAAGAATTGAAATATACATGGAATTTTATGACAATTAGAGAACATTTCTTCTTTCACTTAATACTTATTAAGCACAAAGCATGAGGCAACATTGTAATTGTTGTGAGATACAGAAATTATTAAGGCAGGAAGGATACTGTTTTCAGATGTTTCAATGATACAGCATAAGGCACAGGAAAACAAGTATAATTCTAGTTTAGGGATGTGACTGATGGTAGACAATTCTCTGTGAGTCTCTTACATTTCTACATATATTGTGAATGAAACAATGACTGTCCTTTGTTCTGAATCTCTTTTCAAGGATGTTTCTAGAGTAAACAGCCTTGGAAGACAAAGTGGTATCCCAGGCCAGAGCAAAGGGTAAGTTTGCTTTCAATCCTGGAAGACAGAATGCCTCTTTGCAGAGTAAAGCATAGGAATACTTACCATCCAGTATAGTAATGTCCCCTCCAGAGCAAGGGGCAGACATGCTTACTAAAAAATAAGAGTTCCTTGAGCTCAATGACCCTCTCCTATGACACAATCCACTCACAGTAGCACAACCTGGCTCTCTTTGTGTCATCCTATGGAAATTTGGGCTCAGGGTAGTGGCTCAATTGTGCTGAGAATCAGATACTGCTGTCACTCTGAGTAATAAACTATTTCTGATTTAGGAGTCTCATATCTTCTAACAACATCCATGAAACTGTGGAAAGTTAACTAGTGAGATTGCAAGTAGGGTAAAAATATCAGATCCTTGATAGCACTTGACAGCTATAGGCTGCAAAAATGGCAACACATTCTTCTTCTTCCTGCATCCATGCTCTTGCTCATACTGATTCTGGGAGAGGTCCTATGATATGCTTGGCCAATGAGGTATTAGTAAATGTAACACAACTAGAAAACTTGGAAAGCACCTCCACACTGAGGCTTGCCCTCTTGCTGTTCTTAAAATTTAATTGTTATGTGAAGAAGCCTAGACCAGACTGTTTGTGAGGAATATATGGCCAGTTTCCTCCCATCACCCCAGCTAACAGACCATCAGCTGTCGGACATATAAACAAGGCCAAGTTAGATCATTCAGCCTGCAACCAACCTTCCCATTAACCACCAATGCAAGAGAAAACCCAGTGTAGAGAAGCTGGATTGGCACACCAGAATTAACTATTCAGCTTCTAACTTTTGAAGTGGTTTGTTATGTAGCAAAAGGTAACAAAAGGCACTGGGCACAAAGAAAAAATTACTTTCAGTACAATAACATCTATACTACATGTTCCACAGGGTTTGGCCTATGTCAAAGTAAATATTTAAAATCCAGCACTCAGTATAGTGTCCAGAAAAGAGTTAAATGACAACTGTTTCAACTTTGTTTGGGTTTTCCATCTGAACAGTCACCTTACAAGCAGGTTGTGAGACTGAAGAAACTATGTAAATCCAGCAGCATACAATGTGGCTGAAGTGGAAGAACCACAACTTGATAACCATGGAACAGATGAATAAAAATCAGCCCTTCTACTTAATATCTTGCAGTATTTTGAAAAGTTACTTGAGTGTAATGCACTTTGGTTTCCACATCTAAATGAAAAGAAAGGCTTTCTTCACAGGCTTTCAAACACAGGAACTATAAAGGAGGCCCTGTATGAGCATAATTACCAGAGTTATGAGGACATTCTGGTAGCAGAGAAAAAAAATGGACAGTAACAACAATCACTATCAAATGACAACAAGTGAAATGGTCTCCTGTTCCAAAGACATGCATGTATTTGCTCATACTCTGTGTCTCTCACATACATATACATAAAACCAAACCATTTCCCAAAATTAAATTCCAAATTCAACAGGTAGAAGAAGTGAAGAGCAGTTAAGTAACAGGAAGGGTTGATTATGTTCTATAAGAAGTCAGAGCACCTATTACATAATGTGTATGTAATCCAAAGTGTTTTATTATTTCAAAACCCTCTGAATAATAAAATCTTTCTGGAAGATTGACATCTGACAATGTGAGGGTCAGGTGTTTCACTATATTAATGGAACTAAAAGGTCACTTGATTGAAGTAGTACTCTGCTTCATTTTTATTTTAGAAACAGAAATTTCAAATAATTATTTATCTTCTACATTACTTACTCAGTTTTGTCACATTTAAAACAGCTTTTTCCAAGACTTTCTTTTATGACTTGTCATCTTTGAGAAATCGCCATTACTGCTAGTTGGCAACTAAGTACAGTTGATATTGATTCTTAAACATGATAAATGAAGATGGGTGCCAGTGGCTCATGCCTGTAATCCTAGCTACTTAGAAGGCTAAGCCTGGATGGATTTTGGTCCAAAGTCAGCCTGGAGTGAAAACTGTGAGACCAATATCTGAAAAGTAAACTAAAGCAAAAAGGGCTGAAGCTATAGCTCAAGTGGTAGTGTGCTTGCTTAGCAAGCATGAAGCCCCAGTATCATTTAAAAAAAGGGAAGAAATGGTGGTTTTAATAGTACATGTATGTGTTTGTACAATGGATTTTTGTGTACATAAAGTCCTTTATCAATCAAAATTACAGAATATGTTATACAAGTGGCACTTAATCAGATATAAATATACTGTATAATTTCCTCATTAAAAAATGTCAATCATATCACTACATATTATTTGCAGCTGGAATTCAAATTCCAAAGTTCTACCAAACAAAACAATATGTCTTCTTCAGCCACATGTGTCAACCATAAAGGTCCACTGGGCATCTCTGTACCAGAAGCAAATAACTCAAAAGCATTAAGAATATGCACAGAAAATAAAGAGTCTGAAACACTACATATATTTAGGAACTTTTTAACTTTAACAAATGTTTTTACAATGTTCTGATCCTGATTTCAGAAGCATCCCTCTCCCAGCCCACACCCTCAAATACAGCATTACAACGCCACAGTTTCTAAGGGTCAAAAAGTGCCAAATGTCCCTTGGCTCAGACACAAAGGAGAGATCCGCTTTTCACTGGGTAGTGTCCAGCCCAGGGAGTTATCATAATGGGAGCCCAAATCTCATTTTGTCCAGGAAAAAACACCACCTCCCCTCAAGGTTCATAACTCTGAGACTAGCATCTAATTGACTCATGGTTGACTGACAGGTCAGGAAACACTGTCATTCTCTGTTTATTGGTATCCTATGAAAAACAAACAATCTACCTTAACTTACCCGGAAATAGTCGCTGCATGCTGCTAGGACTGCCTTGTGAGCATGGAATTTCTGTTCCTCAGCAATCAGGGTGACATCACAAAGGATGCCATCACTTCTTTGCTGATTCAGCGCTGCCAGGACGCTGTCGTTGTGAGATTCCGAGTGGCAGAGCCTCTGGCCTGTCAGCATTTCTTGGATACTACAAAGGAGAGCAATCGAGTCAGCTTTCTTCCTTTTCTAGCCCAGCTTACCAGATGCTCTCTCATTCCTCAACACCAACTGGGGGAACTTGGATTCTAGAGCACTGTATGAGTTTGACCTTCATGTTTCCACATTTTTCTCTCTGCTATTTTCTTGTTTTTCTCTCTGATTCCTTCCTCTTCCCCACAGAGAAAGTTTCTCTCTCCTGCTAGTGCCCCTCTTTCTGAATTTGTTTGTGTGTGTCCATCTGTGTCTTTATATGAGCCTGCTTCTGTGTCCCTGTCTCCTCACTGCAAAACTTCCTTGAGATGTGTGTGTGTGTGAGAGAGAGACAGAGAGAGGTGGGGAAGGGAGAGAGAGAGATTGACATCTTGAAGACAGAAACTGACCCCACTTTATGACCCCTCTCTGACTCTGATTCTTTTTCCAGCCTTATAACTTACCATGCCTCTCCAGGACACAACACTCCTAATAAATACAATAAAACTGAGCAAATGTTGGTTAGGGAAAAAAGTACTGTAGGTGACCATTCCACTCAAGAGGCAATTAAACCACAGCAGCCTTGTTATTAAACTTAGGAAATTATGCATCACAAGGAGAACATCAAAAGGGATGTCTTTGTAAATATAAAACAGAAATTGAAAGTAAAATATACCTAAATTACTAGAATTTCATGTCTACATGTGATCATTAAAATAAACTTATGGATTTATTAATGACTATAAGATTTTATTTTTCTATTTTGTGAGTTGTTAAGCTTACCCATTATGAAACCACTCGCCCTTTGCTCTCTATCCTACCCTAAAATATTTATTCTATGTACTTAAAAACTACTAGGAAAACTTGAGAATTCCCTAAAATAATTGTAGAAGTAATACCATAAACACAAAATGAAAAATGAACTTAATGACAGCTATGGACAATTCCAGCTTATATCAACAATAAATGTCCACAGTGCTCTAAAATCTCAGAACAGGACTACAATTGGTGAGCTATCCTAGTAACGAGTAACTCCCAGAAAGAGAACAAGTACAATCAAGCCCTGTCTCTAAAGAGCAAATTTTTCTGAAAGTTGAGTAAAGATACCTTAAGGATGACTAAGGATGGTCTCTTCCATACTGATAATTCCTGCACTCGATCCCTCACCTTCTGAGCATGAAATAGCTGTGCAGGAGAGCCAGAGTCACTACCAGTCTTGCTTATGTGGTTGGTTTAGTTGATAGGGTTTTGCCCAGCCTATGTGCCAGTTTGCTGGTAATTTACAATGAAGCATAAGTCACCTTACCAAATGCTTCCCATGAAATGCCAGAGTGTAGTCAGTAAACCTATCAGACGTTTTTGACTGGGAAGCATCAGTAATGTCAGAATTATAGAAAAAATAACTTGACAGGAGGTGATGATATAGGAAGCTCTCATGGGAAGGTGGGAGGAGTATTAACAACACAAAGAAGGCAGTGAGTTTTGAAGTGGTTAATGCAATGCATTGAATATACTCCTACTGACTCTAGCTATACACAGACTTTTAAGTCAGTAATTGGAAGCACATTCAGACACATAAATACTTTTTAAAAATAAATTTCTATGTAAAACCTTAAAGTAGAGATTAATTACCATTAATCAACAAAATCAGGAAACAGAATAGTAATGGAATATATCAGCTAAGTACAGCTTTAGGACAGTCTTTGAAAAATCCTTTCTAAAAGGATGACACTTTTACACATTTAACAAATACATAATGCTCACTATGTTCAATGAAATATTATCAGTGGCTTATAATTATTAATTCATTTAATTTTCATGATAGCCCTAGAAGGCAGGTACCATTGTTATCTGTATTTTACAGATAAGAAAATCAAAAGTCTGACATCAAGCATTTGAAAACATAACGCCAAGAACACAATAGTATAATTCTTTCTGCTACTTAAAGAAAAGATATTCTGTAAAGGAAATCACCAAAATTTATGCCTAAGAGGACAAAATTACAAAAATCCCTATTAATTTTATATTTATATTGCTTAATCTCAAAATCACCCCTTTAGAACATTTAGAATACATGAACATAACACTATGAGATAATAAGAAACTATTTGAAATCATACTTCAAAAACATTTATTTTTGTACTATGACTAAAAGTTTTGGGATAGAAAATGGATCTTACTATTATAACCTTAGAAAATGTATTTGAAACTTTCATAACTTCCTTTCTCCCCTTGTATATTACATTAAATGCTAAATAAATGTATTTTGAAGTCTCATTGGTAGTAGAACAAGAACAAATGAAAATATTTTTCTTAAAATGCTTCCTTACTCATTTTCCAAATATAGTGCTGCAATTTCTGTCCTTTTTATTAAGCCTGAATCAGTATTTGCATTTTAGATATCTGTTGAAAGTGAATATATCTCTCCAGAAAAAGAGCAACTGTAAACTGAAATTTGGCAAAGAATAAAAGGCTCAAAATTGAAACAATAGTGATGCTCCACAATTTCACAGGATCATTCAGCTTGGCTCAAAATACTCAAGCTTAAAGAACATAACACTCTAAATGTTTAAGACAACACTTGGCACAAGTTCCCAAATGTTTTGGAACCAATATGTTAGGAATTCTTAAAAGCAGAAACAAATACTGCAACATTTGGCAAGAAATAAAGGCCTATTAATCAACAAGTCATTACTGTATTCTCAAAGTAACTTCCCACTCAACTCTCAGATTTAAATCTGCAGAAGACCTCAACCTTCTAAACCCTAAGCTCATGTGGCTACAGAACATAGCTGGAAGGTCACAGGCTCACTTACCAAATAACGATCATAAACTAGAGAGGGGATGAATCAAAAACCAGCATGTATCATGCTTAGAGTGGGGAGAAGACACACACTTGCAATCAGGTCCTTCAGCATCAAACTGTACGTCAAATTGGCAAACTACACCTCCCAAATTAGAGGAATGCCCCTTCACTACTTAGGAAACAAACATACATATCTTAAAACTTCCTAAATTATAGGACATTATGTTTCTCAAGGGCATACAGATTTAAGTACTATCCTAAAATCAGGAAAAATTTTTATGGAAGAAATTTGCCTTTGAAAATTTATAAACAGTGCAGTGCAGAAAGTGTTATGGCTTACGCAATGCAACCTCAATATCCTTTTCTCTGACTACTGCAGGAAGTGCACTGTCTAGTATGGGAACCACTATCCACATGTGGCTAGGCACCACAAATATGGGTAGACCAAATTGAGATGTGCTTGTAGAATAAAATGTACCCTCAAGCACCACATGATCTCACAGACGTTAAGAGAAGAATGGCTGGCCGCTTCTAGAGACCAGGGAGAGTAGAGGGGAGTATAGGATGGAGAAATCTTTATCAGTGGTACTAACTACAGGTAGAAAGGAGTACAAAGTTTTGGTGTGCTATTGCACAGTAGTGTGACTATAGTAAAATAATATACCATACAATCCAAAAAGCTAGAAGAAAGGATTTTGAAAGCTTTCACCAAGAAGAAATGATAAATGTTTGAGGATATAAATATGTTTAACCTTATTTAAACATTATGCGGTACATTTGGGTATCAAAACTTTGGGCTGGAGGTGTGGCAGAAGTGGTACAGTAAGCATGAAACCAAGTTCGAGACCAAGTTCAAAACCCAGTACCACCGAAAACAAAACTATTATGTAGTATAACAGTAATATATACAGATTCATATTTTTATGTTCCAGCTAAAATTAAATTTTAGGAAAGGAAAAAGGTACACTGGATATCAAAGGCAATATGAAAAAAGAGAATGGTGGGGCACCAGTGCCTCACTGCTATAATCCTAGCTACTTAGGAGGCAGAGATCAGGGGGATCACGGTTGGAAGCCAGTCTAGGCAAATAGTTCGTGAGACCCTATCTTGAAAACACTTAACACTTGGAGTAGCTCAAGGTGTAGGTCCTGAGTTCAAGCCCCAGTACTGCAAAAAAAGAATGAAAACTATCTCATTATTCAATGCTAATTACATGTGCAGATTTTTATATCTTTGGGCACATTGGGTTATATGAAATACATTGCAAAAATTAAATTGACCTGTTTCTTTTAACCTTTTTTTTTAAATGTGACTTTAAATTATATATGCTTCCCATTTTGGTTCGATGTAGGCACCCTACCACTTGAGCCTCACCCTCATGTCCCCATCATGGTTCTATTTGTCTGTCCACAAGTTCCCAGGGAAATAGGTTCTTTTATTTCTTTTCACCTGAACCTAATAAGGGCTTCAGGTACCCCAGTCCAGCTGCCAATGAGGATTGCTATTCCTGGATCTCACAGGGCCCAGCTTAGGCCCTGGTGCAACTGGGAAGTCCCAGACTCCCTGAGCAGCAGATTGCTTTTTAGTAATGCCGGGAACAACCACCTGATCAGCCAAATGTCAGTATTCAGCAATGGGGAGCTTAATAAATGAAATCAGAGGGAATAAGACTATTCATGACTTCAAGCCTATAACTTTCATTTAGGAACCAATCACAAAAACTAATAAATCAAATGCAGAGCACGATGTACACCCTCCTCAGAGTGAATCACTGCCTTAGTGCAAATTACTACTTTGAGTTCCATGGAGTTAACATTTTTGATCACAGAAATCACACACTCTCATTTTCCATAGGATAAAGTTTGACTAAGTTCAATCAGTTTTTAAGATGTAAATTCCAAGACAGCTAAATGATCTTACTTATTTATGTATCTATTTAGTTAGTTATTGGTACTGGGGTTTGAACTCAGGACTTTGTGCTTGCTAGGCAGATGCTCTACAGCTTGAGCCACATCTCCACCCTTTTTGCTCTGGTTATTTTGAAGACAGGGTCTTGCTTTTTGTGTAGGCTAGCCTGGACCATAATCCTACTGGGATGACAAGCATGCACCACTATGCCCAACCTTTTTTTGTTGAGATGTAGTCTCAATAACATTTTTGTCCAGGCTAGCCTGGAACTGAGATCCTCCCGATCCCAGTCTTCTGCATAGCTCGGATGACAGACGTGTACCACTACACACAGCTAGTGGTTGAGATGTGGTCTCATGAATGTTTTGCCTGGACTGGTTTCCAACCAGTCTTCCAAGTAACCAGGATTACAGGTATTAGACACTAGCACCCTGCCAGTTATATGGTTTTACACATCGGCATTTCAAATGAAAAAAATTCAGGTGAATTTCTGGATCAATGTTTATCTACTATTCAAGTTTCTAGGGAACTCAATAGACAAAAACTATGCAAGTGGTTTTCAAGTAACTCTATCAATAAGAATTTATACTCTTACATCTAAAAAACCATCAATGGAGTCTCACTTCTTTTTATTTTTTCTTTCTGATGCCTTGCTTCTTAGCAATGACACCACACCACCACCAACAACAACAACAAAAAACTACTAGACAAAAATTCTGAATGGCAACAGAATTACGTCTGATTATCTCAATTTAGTCTATTGATAAAATACAAGAGAGTGTCCTAATCACTTCAATAACATGTTCTAAATATTTTTATACAAATACATTAATATTAAAAGAACTATTTTTAAGGGAGTCTATAGTGGAACTTAAATTTTTTTTATAACATACTTTGTGATGGTTAATCTCAATTATCAGTTGGATTGGAATGATATTTGCTTAGGAGATAGTAAAACACACCTCTGATGTGTCTGTGAGGACATTTCCAGAGATGATCTGATTATGAGGGCTCTTTCCTAATGAATGGATTAATCCCTTGATGGAGTTATAATATGATGGCATTATAGGAGGAGGTACGGCCTACTTGAAGGATGTACATGACTGGGGACATGTCTTTGGGGACTATATCTTTTCCCAGTTCCTTCCTTTATTCTCTTTCTCTGCTTCTCATCCACAATGAGATGGGAAAAAAAAAAAAAAACTTCCAAAAAACTTCCTGTGCTACATGGTACTGCTGCCATAATACTATGCTAAAACACATGGGACCAAGCAACCATGGTCTGAACTCTCTGAAACAATAAGCCAAAATAAATCCTTCCTCCTTAGTTGTTTATTTCAGGCATTTTGTCAGTGGCAAGAAAAGTAACTAACACATACTTTATATTTTGTAAGCTCTTGAAAGTGAATGATAACAATGAATAGCAATGGTCATATTAATAGAAAAGAAAATACAATACACTTGGAAGAGGATTAAGAAATACTGAAGACTATACAGAAAGAAAATTATAAATGAATAGCTTTGTATCCTCCCTCTCCTCATTCATTTACCAAATATTTAATCAGCCTTATTGTGCTAGGTACTGGGGATAAAATGATGAGCAAACCAGAAATGGTAGCAGTCGTCATGGAACATTCTGTTTAGCAGGGCAGTCACACATTAAGTAACCTGGCCTTCCTGAAGGACAAATACTTGAGCTGTAGGCTGAAGGGTAGACCATGTTATCCGGTAAAAAGGGAAGAATAGCATTTGCTATTCTCCTGCATGTCTTTGAAGATAAGCAGGTTGAGGTCTCAAGGGCCATGATACTGTGCAGATCTTCCATGCTAATGTGAAAAGAGCCCTGAAAGGTTGTAGTGCTTGTGATGGAGAGGAAGACTTCAAGCCAGGTGCTAATGTACTCAGTGAAGGGAGAGAAAGGACCTTGACCACAGCTAGGAAGAGGAGAAAGTGAAAGAGATAAGAGTACTACCTTCAGAAGAGCATGTCTTTGTTGTTTTTGCTGTGGCATTCTCAAACAACCAGTCTGAGAAGTAATCTAGAAGCAAATCTATGCCCCAGCATGGCACATATCTCTGTACGAAGCCCTGAAATACATGAGTTGGGAGGAAATAATGCTACCACTTGAGAGAGCTGCAAAAGAAATGGTCTTCAGGGGAGGTCAGGTTTCAATGAACTCAGGAACGAGGGAGATGATGTAAGAAAGCATATGGTTATCTTGCATGTTTTCCACGTGGCATGGTAAAGATTTTGAGGGGTTGGAAAGGGAGTGCTCTGGGTTGAAGCAAACCATTATAGAGAAGATTGCACTGTGGAAGGCAGGTAACAGTAGGATGAGAGTTGATTGATAAAACAGGGATGACAGACTGAAAGTAAAAAGTCATTTTAAGTGTTCACACTGATCCTAGTAGTAAGAGATACATCACTTGACAGAGGCAGTGGCAGACAGATACCATGGTCCCCATGTGCTATATTGGTTGGACACCAACCACATCTAGAGTAGGGTTTCTTGGCCTCAATACTATTCTGAGTAAAATTGGTAGGGAGCTGTCTAATACATTATAAGACATTTAGCAGGATCCCTGGCCTGCACCTACTAAATACCAATTGTATCCCCAATGTCACTAGACATTGCAGAATGTATACTCATCTCCCATTGAGAAACACTGATTGAATGCAACGAATATATGGAGAGAGGCATTTCACTTCACCATTTCTGAACATATTTTTGGAACTGGTCATCTCTAATAGCTTCAGAGTTATGGAAGAAAGATTATTACTTAATAGACATATCCAATCTTTAACACTAAGAAATGTTTTCTGCAGGGTTACCATATCACATATTCTTTGCACTGAAGACCTTTTGATTATGTCCTCAGATAATGATGAAGAAGATTTGCCTCCACTGAGAATACTCAAATGAATACCACACATTTTCTTCTTGGCTGCCCCTCAGGTTTCAGAATGTGCCAACCTCCTTCCTGCCTCAGGGCATCTTTCCAGTTTATCCTATCCTTCAGTTCTCAGGTTAGAGAGCACGCCCTCAGGGAGGAGTGCTCTTACTGTATTTATCCTGTACTTTTCCTTCAGAACACGCTTTTACAATTACATTTTCTGGTTACTGGTGTGACTATTTAATGTTTGTTTCTCCCACAAAATATCCATTTTATGATGTCAGGAAACTTATCTGTCTTATTCATAGCTAGGTCCTCTACATCAAGTAAAGCACTTGGCTCAAAGGACATCTTTAAATAAATGAATTATTAAAAGAAGCCCAGCATTATGGCATGGGCCTGTAATCCCAGCACTCTGGAGGATAGGCAAGTATATCTTGAGGTCAAGGCCACCGTGGGCTTTTAGAAAGACCCTGTCTCAAAAATAAGCAAGCAAAACAAACAAATACAAAAACTACCTCTACTTGATACAGAAGATTCAGTTATGTATAAAACAGATAAGAATCCTACCTTCATAAAATAGATATTTATAGGAGAAACAGACATTAAGAAAATGTTACCAGGATTTTGAGGCTAAGCATTGCACTCTCCAGAGTTATTGTTTTAAAGGGGACAATGTCAGAGTTATTGTTTTAAAGGGGACAATGTTCATATGCATGTATAGTTTTCTGATTGTTTTTGTTTAAGTTATATACCTTTATAGTAGTATACCTTTTGTTCAAGAGAGGTTAGCATCTTGAAATAGAGAATTTTAAAAAGTAGCATCATTCAAAGAAACATGAAGCTTTTCTAAGATTGACCAACAACTAGGTCTTAGTGGTTAGTCCTTGTACTACCATCCAAAATCACAAAAGGTCTGGCTGGTTATTCATTCCTTCCAATTTGTATTCAGTCCCTGTTCTGTGCAATGTGACCATTTCAGGGCTCACTACACCAAGAAAGCACATTTCTACAAGGTATACCTGAAGCAGCGTTCAGATGGCATTCTCCAGCTGGGTTCCTTGGGGTTTCAGTCTTAGAAGTTTGCAGAAGAATCAGCAAGCATTCCAGCTGGATAAAAAGACAAGAATGAAGAGCATACTTCAGCTACATTTAAAGAGCACATTCTGGGTTTTCATGATGCTAAGGCTTTAAAATCCCAAGGAGGCAGACATATTACCATTCTGAAACCATGACCTTTTTTTTTCTTCTTTCTTTTTTTCTTTTGTGGTACTGGGGTTTGAATTCAGAGCCTACATCTTGAGGCGTTCCACCAGCCCTTTTTTTTAAATGGGTTTTTTCAAGATAGGGTCTTGTGAACTAGTTACCCTGGCTGGTTTCAAACTATGATCCTCCTGATCTCAGCCTCCTGAGTTGCTAGGACTACAGGCATGAATCACCAATGCTCAGCTGATACCATGTTCTTTTAACATGCAATGATAATCGATGTTTTTTTTTTAATTTTAAGGTTTTTTTCATAGTATTGGAGATTCAAAAGCTAAGATACAAAATATGTTTGAGAATCAATAATAGCTAATTAAAGGTTGAAGTAAAAAAAATAAGGTATCAGATGGTCAAAGGGAAAAAGTAAGATTTGGTAAAATAAAGCTATAATGATCTAAACTATAAATACAATTTAAATTGTCATTCATAGAGATTCTACTTCCAAACATGGTTAATGAAATTAAGTTAAAAATCAAGTACCTCTTAGCCAAGTATATACACAAAAATGAGTTTCTATTCAAGGAGCAGGTTTCTGAAAACTAGTAGAAAAATAGCATGCAGAAACAATGAATGTTAGTAGGAAATGAAAATGGATTGTTACAGGAGCCTCAGGATTAGTATAATTGAAATACAGACAGGATGTAGTTTTCAGGTTTGAAATTGCTCCTTGGCTATATACACTTACTCATTTAGTTCCTACTCCCCACCCTTGCCTTTGTTTTTAATCATTGATGTAATTCTAAACAGAAAAATAAATTATTTGAGCAACATTCTGGGACCTGGTCCATGACTATGCTTGACAACTCTCATTAAAGAGTCTAGCTCCCATTTTCTAATACATGCAAGTGGCATAATTAATTACAATCCGGATAAGCTAACTAAGCTTCCTTCTGTCTCGGTTTTATTTTGAAAAGTGATAATAGGGTAAAAGTACTTATGAAAGAAATATGTTAACTCCTGCCTTTTTCTGCTAATTTATATGAAAAAGAGAACTATGATTTTCAGTCTGACTAAATATAGTATTTTTATATTGTACACAAACCCTCAACTAAAATGACTGTATAATATTCATGTAATATGTCATAATTCAGTCTATCATTGTTATAACTATTAGGTTGTTTCAAACACTTTTCATACAATTACAGCTTTTAGTTCTTTTTAATTATTATAAATAGAATATCTATACTTTCATCTATTTCTAATGTAAGCCTAAAAGTGGGCATCATTTTTAATTGATTCATCAAAATTGAGCAGCACAGGTGGTCAGAATAATTCTACGCATATTGTTTAACTAGCTAAGAGACTTGCTTAGCAACCTATTGTTGCTACAGTTTCCTTTCAGAATCTGTTATAAATTCCAGGATGTTATAGCTTAACAAAAATACTAAACAGAGATGGACACTTCAACTTTAAAACTATAAGGAGTGTCTTTTATTATGGGAAGGTGAAAAGTCTTATTCTTCTGAGAGCCATATTTTTAAAAAATACTCCCAATAACCAGGCAAATTGAGAACAAGAATTGTAAAATTTAAAATACTTCACAATTAAAGGAACACATCTAATTTGGTATTTTCAGACATTTCCAACATGATCATTGACAATCATAACATAAATTTCCTTCTATAGTCATTTATTATTTGGAGAACAACTCACTAAATTAGCTCTTCTACAAAATTATCTCTAATTTTAATCTTTGACATCTTATAAAGTTTCGTGAAATGGACACCATTTTAAAGGAGAATCAAAATGAGCTAAGGATGAATCACCATGGGAAAAAATTGTCTTCTATATACTCATGTATGAAAATGGAAAAATGAGACATGTTGAAACTATTCCAGGAATGGAAGCAGGAGGGAATAAAAGAGAATGATGGAGGAGGTGAATCCAACTATGACCTATTTTGTAAATGTCATGATGTACCCCCAGTACAACAATAATAAAAATTAAAATTAAAAAAAGAAAAACTCTTATTTACTATTTTTCTACATATCATTTGCTATTACATAACATATTAAAATTAAAGGTATGGGCAAATACATTTGTTTTTATAAAAAGTTCCCCTGATAATGTGTTCAGTGTATACCATGGCTACTTGAAAGTTCTAGCCAAATATACCTTTCCCTCCTCCAGCCTCCTTGAACTTTTTCTCCAATCTAGAATGTGGATTCCTTCCTAACCCCAGGCTCTTAACTCTTCCTATGAGCCCAGGGAGATCCAGGCCAGTCTCCTTCCTGTCTTTCTCCTCTTCAGAATCTATAAATAGATTCAGAGGTAGGCCAACTTGGTGGAGCATTAGGAAGCACAGCCATGTGAAGAAAGGGTAGAATTGCTCTCCAGACACCTAGCTCTTAGAATTGCTCACCACCATCAGAAAATAATCACAAATAGTACAAACCCTAAAGGGACTGCTCTGTGGAATTGGGAGAATATTATGGGCTGGCTCTTTTTCTGTGAAATGAGAGTGATCACCTTAGAGACTCTTTCAACTCTGGCTGTATACAACTTTCTGAACCCACTGGCATGACAAAGATTCTCTCCTTGATCCAACTCTAGTAGGTTCCTCTGAGTTATTTTTGCAAGTAGACCCTGTCCCTTGGCATATCTTCAAGCGCTTGGTGGTCAACCAATGAATAAATAAAAAATGAGAGTTTGTTAACATTATAAAATATCACTTAAAGGAAATATGTACTTATAAAAATAGTTAAGAAAGCATATGTTATAGTTTTTAGTTTCTCAGCTCAGCTTAAGAAACTTGAGAAGGAAGGAGGGGATTTTTCTGTGCAACATAACTACTATAAGAGGCAGCAAAGGGTACCAGAATATACCACCCCAAAATATTCCTCTTCAGCACATGAATTATTTTGAGCTAAAGACCACTGAGAACCAGCAGATTCAGGAAAAGCTCTAAAAACAGGGTATAAGTTTTCCTTTTGTAAAAGAAAGGAAATTTCCATTTATAAACAACTGGTATACACGATATCTCATCCCGGCAACAATGAAAGACCTTCTGGGACAAACCTTATTCCAGCAACAAAGGACCATTCCAAAAACAAACAAACAAACAAACAACAAAAAAAAAGAGTTCAAAATTTCAAAAGAAAAAATTTTAAAACAAGAGGGAAGTTGTCAGATTCCAAATGGAGTCACTTGCGCAAGTCCTTCCAAAACTAAAACTAGAGGTTGTAAAGAAATGGTTCATAAGCATGGTTGTCTAACATTAAAGCCCATGCCTGTCTACCTTCCAAATGGACAAAAACTAGCATTTCTATCACCTTTCAGGGAAAACCCAAATGCCCCTTCATTTGTATGGACATTCACAGCCTCTTAAAAATAGGAAGGCTATCCAACTCATATATCTGCTAAAAGACCTCAAAATTACTCCAAGCATAGGGACAGGACAAAAATATGTCACTAAAGGCTGATGCCCTGGGGTTCAAGTTATTTTCATTCAGTGCCCAGAAGATCTCACCCCACATTCTTCTTGCTTTACATGTTTCTGTTGAGAAGTCAGCTGTGATTTTGATGGGTTTACCTTTGTATGTTATTTGTTTTTTTCTCTCTTACAGCCTTCAATATTCTTTCCCTAGTTTCTGAACTTGTTGTTTTAATGATGATATGTTGTGAGGTAGTTCTATTTTGATCTGGTCTGTTTGGTGTCCTGGAGGCCTCTTGCATCTATATGGGAATATCTTTCTCTAGATTTGGGAAATTTTCTGTTATTATTTTGTTGAATATATTACGCATTCCCTTCGCTTGCATCTCTTCTCCTTCTTCAATGCCCAGGATTTTTAAGTTTGGTCTTTTGATGGAGTAGGTGAGTTCTCACACACTAAGATTCCACCTCACCCCTGTTAGAATAGCCATCATTAGCAACACCACTAACAACAGGTGTTGGCGAGGATGTGGGGAAAGGAACCCTCTTACACTGTTGGTGGGGATGTAGACTAGTACAACCTCTCTGGAAAAAAATTTGGAGGCTACTTAAAAAGCTAAACATTGATCTACCATTTGATCCAGCAATACCACTCTTGGGGATATATCCAAAAGAATGTGACACAGGTTACTCCAGAGGCACCCGCACACCCATGTTTATTGCGGCACTATTCACAATAGCCAAGTTATGGAAACAGCCAAGATGCCCCACCACTGACGAATGGATTAAGAAAATGTGGTATCTATACACCATGGAATTTTATGCAGAAATTAAGAAGAACGAAATGTTATTATTCGCCGGTAAATGGATGGAATTGGAGAACATCATTCTGAGTGAGGGTAGCCTGGCCCAAAAGACCAAAAATCGTATGTTCTCCCTCATATGCAGACATTAGATCAAGGGCAAACACAACAAGGGGATTGGACTTTGAGCACATGATAAAAGCAAGAGCACACAAGAGAGGGTGAGGATAGGTAAGACACCTAAAAAATTAGCTAGCATTTTTTGCCCTTAATGCAGAGAAACTAAAGCAGATACCTTAAAAGCAACTGAGGCCAACAGGAAAAGGGGACCAAGAACTAGAGAAAAGGTTAGATCAAAAAGAATTAACCTAGAAGGTAACACACACACACAGGAAATTAATGTGAGTCAACTCCCTGTATAGCTGTCCTTATCTCAACCAGCAAAAACACTGGTTCCTTCCTATTATTGCTTATACTCTCTCTTCAACAGAATTGGAGATAAGGGCAAAATAGTTTCTGCTGGGTATTGAGGGGGTGTGGGGGAGAGGGAGGGGGTGGAGTGGGTGGTAAGGGAGGGGGTGGGGGATGGGGAGAGAAGTGACCCAAGCCTTGTATGCACACATGAATAATAAAACAATAAAAAAAAGAGAGAAAAAAAGGCTGATGCCCTA